GCATTTTAATATTTAGAAATAGGAAGTGAGTGGCCACAAATTTAGTTATACTAAATAGGTATACTATTGACAGAAGGACTATTCAGTGTATAATGAAGCATTTCTATTTGCTTTTTAATATAGTGGGGAAACTGTTGGGCACTAACGTTTCTAAGTATTTTATTGCTCTGTAAAGCTAACAAGTGGTCCTGATGGATGGTTTACATTTATTAAATTTATCAAAACCTTTATCATTTCAAAATTATTATTTTTATTCAGTTCAACTTTGCATTAAAAAGGTTCCTATGTTCTAAGCTGAGACTGTCTAGATGAGATGTCAACACAGTGCCTTAGTGCCTGGGAAACAGCTTCTCTTGAAATAAATGAAGAAATACATGCATACTGGGAACATTTAGCCATTCCATATCTTAGTGCGCTAAAAGTGTTAGGTTGTTTTTTTTTTTTCTTTTTTCTGTTGTTCACCTATTGAGACGAGCATAGCTGGAGAAGAATGAAAATATATCAACTAGTTGTACCAATTCATAATCAATAAAAAGCTAAACACTTAAGCAGAAAATGTCACAGATTTGTTCCCTAGAAAAACAGCTATTTTTACCTTGCCATCATCACCAGAAGCCACATTCTGACAGAAATAATGTGCTTGAAGCAGCCGTGATATATAACCCCTATGTGGTCTTGTGATTCAGATTTAGGAATATCAGCCACAGAGGGTCTAAAGGCATTGTGCATTAGTATGTATTGAGACCTCATTCCAGGTGGCAAACAGCTGGACTTTTTAAAAATAAAACTTCCAAAATAAATGTGAAGTGCTTGTTTCCAGGCAATAAGCATTATATTTAATTGAATCATCCTCGAAATGTTATAAATTAGCAGAAAAGGAACTTGTGCATATTTAATATATTTGTTTTGTATTTCCACTAGTCAACAGAATAATGAAATTCCTTAACTACTTCTCTTTAACTTACATGAAGAAAGCACGGTATGTTGCTAAATCTCTTTTCACCAGTGGTGCAGAGAAACAACTTTAATCCTTGTTAGAAAATTGCTGAGTCTGGGGCTGACAAAGAGCTCATGCTTGTTCCATTGTTAGTGCTCCCCGGCCCCAAGAGCAGAGCCTTTACAGCTGCGAGGATCCCGCCCGGCTCAGCTGCACTATTTAGGAAAGGAGGTTTGTCAATTTCTATTGACAATGGAGAGAGTTTTTCAGGGCCTGTAGCAGTGCTGACACAGTTGGGGATCAATGCCAGCCATTCAGACTGCACCCTCTTTCATTGCTTTGGTTTGTTAATTCAAGACTAAAGGTCCACTGAGGGGGGGTTCAGGGTGTTTAAGAAAGCTGATGAACTGTTTAAGAAAGCTGATGAACTGCAAGCGTTTATAGCCCTGGTGTGGCAATTTCCATAGTCAGTGGCAGCTCCTGGCACTGAGGGAGCTGTGTCCTTGTTGACCCTCTTGTTATTAAAAATGCACAAGTGCTGCGCTTCTCAATATTTCAACACTCTTTCATTGTCAATACCACCTTCTGAGCCCTTCAGCTTGTTGCTTGCTCTAAAGATCTTCTTAGATTGGGTTTGAAAACTTCACCTTAAACACTAGATTAGACTGATGTTCTGTTTTCCGTGCTCCTGTTGATTTGTTGAACCTTCCCAGGGCTGGAAAGCAAGTAGCAGCTTGATGGGGAGACGGGCCGCTAATATGATTTACCAGTCTACAGTCATGCACAATAAGTGTGAATAAATACAGGGGTCTCACAGAGTCAACCCTAGCCTTTCCTTTTCTTTTATTTTTGCTTTAAAAGAGATATCTCAAGAAAATGAAGTGAGTAATACATGCCCTTACAGGAGTTGAATGAACCACAAAAAGAAAAAAACACCCGATTTTTTTGTTAAAGCGGTAGGCTGCTGTCATGGATTGGTGTAGAAAAAAAAAGTAGAATATACACTTACTGCTTTATTCCAAAGCAAAGAATAAAGCAATAATGCCACACCCCTGACTCCAGTGCGAGCCGGAGCACCCTTCCTTGTCAGCCCCTGAAGGGAAAAGCGAATAGTCAACCAAGCTCTCTTTAAAACATGAGGTTTCCAAAATGAAAAGACATTTTCTAACATTCAGACTTTACTGCACATTCATCCTTTTCAAAAGTGTATTTATTTATTTTCTTTGTTTCAGGAGGTTAGTTTCATTTGGTGGGGGGAAGAGACAGAAGCCAAGCTACGTTTGACTTTTTTCTCGAGATGAAAATATGACACTTACCATACTTCAACACCCAAAAGAGAAAAATAAATATTAACTCCAGCTCCAGAAATAGAAGAGTACCAGAGATTTGTTTGTTTACTTATTTGTTTGGGGTGTGTGTGTGTGTGTGTGTGTGTGTTTCACTGTATACAAGAAAGCAGCAGTTCGAGTGGGGGTAATTTTTAAAACATTTTGTATTTTATTTTATTCTTTCTGTCATAAATTATCCTCAACATGCCCTCTTCCACCTCTACCCACCCCCCTCCCTGGAAGGTATTTTTGTTAGTTTATTCTTAGTAGCAACACAAACTCTGAGCTAAGCTACTGCTTTCTCATATTTGCTGGACTTAGCTGAAGTTCTTCAAACTGCTTTGACATGGGAACCAAAAAAATATGTACTCTTATAAAATAATTTTTCTTATAGAATTCTCCTTATAGAATAATTTATTTGCCTTTAAAGTAAGGTTATAGTAAAGTAGCATTCTACTTAACAATAGTTCTCCTTTTTCTTTATTTTTTAAGTTAACTTTGGATCATTCTATTCCAAAATTGTTTTTTTCTAACATTATAATTCTGGAATTTTGTATTAAAGAAATTGCCATATTAATAATAAATTTCTGTTACATTAGATGTCTTTTTTATTACCACATAATCATAAGTATTATTCATATGTAATGGAAAAAAATGAAGTTAAATTAACTTTATATCATGTAAGGATTTTTTTTTAATACATATGGAGCAATTTAAGAAAATATTTTTATTTCCCTCAAATTTATACAACTTACCATTTTTATAGTAAATTTACAGTCAGATTAACTAGTATGTTATGCTAGACTTTGTATAATTTATCATATTTTATCTCTCCCAAGAAAAGAAAAAATGTATTATCTCCTGCAGAAAGACTATAATTTAAGAATCATAACCATCATGACTATATTTTACCTTTCAAATTATGTGGAGAGTCATGTAAGAGTGAGGGTCTTAATTCAGTATATTCATATTCAATATCACTAATACCTCTGAGTGTTTGGTTACCTGTATTAAAATAGAACTCAATAAGTTGAGGCTATCAATAATTTGAAATAAGGAAGTACAGAATTTAAATGATATCAGAAATAAAGTGATTATAAAAGATTTTGAGATTTAATGTCAGTTGAAGTGCTTAATTCATTAGCAGTTCATTTTTTTAAGAGTTTAGGAATTTATCTCATTTTATAAAACTTGCTTCTGATACCTTTATATGTCCTAAAAATTAACAAAGTAATTATTAGGAAAGAGAAAAATCAGATACATGAATAACATATTTTTTTAAATCATAGTCTACCCCACATTTTTAAAACTTGATATGCTCATTCATCCATTTAATATCATAGTATTCAGTAAATCATTTCCTCATTTTACTTAGCTTATCTCATTTATATATGTATGTTCAGTGTACTAACACATTAATGGAAATAGTCTGATGAATAAGAAATTAGTTCATTTTTAATTTATGCTTAAGATACATTTTTATACTAAATTTTATTAGGAAAATGTTACTACACGTCCAGATGAATTTCAGACTTATTTGTATTCCTTGAGATGTCTCTTAGAAGTTGAATTTACTGTTTTAGTATGTAATGAAAAATATTTTAAAATGTTTTTCAATGTTCACATACCTAAAAACATATACATACATGTGATTTGTAGTGTCACTATGTTTGTATGTACAAACAAGGCACAAAACGTGTTCTCTTTCAAAAACTTGTGCTATTTCCTGAGTGCTGGATGGACTTGGATATTTTTCACGGTTATCTATGACTGTGCACACGATTATTCGTACCGTATCACCTAAACCAAGCTCTGGTACATAGTGGTGATTAAATCTCCTAAAATGTCACCACTAAAGGCAGATCGCCTTTTTTGGAAAACGGGAACAAAATTCCTCCATTTGCTCTACTCGCCGACATTATGTATGAACAGGAAATTACATTAAAGAAGAATTTCAGTTTTCCCTTTAAGAGAGTTATAATGGAGAAAAATGAACCATCCAAAACCACTTGCAAAATAAAACAGATCCTTTCCTTTCATAATTTGGTCAACTGACATCTATTTTGTGATTCGTATAAGACACAAGAATTACATCCTGATGATGTTCCTGCCTAAGATATCAGATTTTTATTTTAGGTGGTTTTAAAAGACATGGGCAAATACTTAACAAATGATAGTAGATACCTGTGTGATTGAGGATTACTGTTTAGTAAGCTGTAGATGTTTTTGCCATTGCTCCTTTAAAATGTTAGTTCTAGGCATTGACTACATGTATTATGGCATAATATACCTATTCTTGGATTTTTACATAACATACAGCTTGATGGCAAATTTTCTTTTGAAAATAATTTACCTGTTTTTTTCCTGTTATTTGGCGGTCTGTTCAGTCCCATAACCTGTGTTTAGTACCCATTGTTACCTACAAATTACAAAGCAGGACGCTAGGCAGCAAGTGCGAAAACACTGTTTCCCATGAACATGTTACAGCTGAAAGACTGTAATGTTAATTCATGGAAAGAACAGGCTGGGTCAACTTAGCAGATATTCTAGCAAAACATACAATTCTGTTAACAGGAAATTATAGCATTATTGACTTCAAGTGCTGATCTGTGGTCATTTCAGAGTGTTTCATTACCCCTCATTACCGAATCTGTTAAATGAATACTGCAGAGGTTTTCTTTTTTCTTTTTTTCCTTTTCTCTTCTCCTCCCCTCTGCCCCCATCCCTCTTTCCAGCAATGGTACAGTAGTTCCATGAAAGTCATCTGTGTGTGGTTGGCTGATAGATTAGACCTTCAGCTTCATATTTACCAACTGAAGACGCTCATCAAGATTGTGAAGGTAAATGTATTTAGATGTGACTTGCCCAGCAAGCTATGAGTAATGGCAAGATATTGACATACAAATAAAACATCTTATTTAATATAACCGAATGGATGTATGTACTTTTTAAACATCTCTTTTAGCAATGATATGCTGCTGTTTATTTTCATTTTAAATTAGATTACTAAATAAATATAAACATTTTTTGCTGAAATAAGTAAAAAATATTTTGTTATCAAGTAATCATATTTTAAGATAATGTATCTTAAATGTGTCCCTAGCACATTTACCTATGGTAGCAGGTCCACAATAATTTTGTATTTTCTTCAGTATAGAAATGTTTCCTGATAATACATTTCCTCCATATTTGATAGGATCATATATCATTATGAGGGGTTTTGAATTGTACATGTCAATAGGATAAGGAGAATCTCTATTATTTTGTTATATCCTGATACAAAAATAATACATTGTCACTGCCAGAATTCTTTTTGGAAGCATGCCCCTTCCTTATGTGAGACATAATCAACTTCAGTGCTGGGGACCATCCAAAACTAATGATGTCCTATCAGTTCAGCAAGGCCATTTTGACTTTTGCTCTTGAAGGGAAAAGATAATAACATACATGTTATATTTAGTGAGTAGAAACTTTACTTCCATTTTAGTACCATTTATCAAATTGGTATGTATATATAAATATACACACACACATAATTAGTACATATTTTATGTATATGTGCCTATATATGTGTATATATGCACGCACACACATACACATGTACACATTGATTCTCAAAGTGTCATTCCTGATCTAGCATTATCAATATCACCTGGGAACTTGCTATATGTGTTGGACAAGTTGTCTAACCCCAGACTTACTTTATCAGAAATTCTGTGAGAGGAGCCCCACAATCTATATATTAACAAGCCCTCCAGATGATTCTGATAGTTGTTAAAGTTTAAGAGTACTGTTATATCATTAAATGAAGATTTTGCCACATTATTTTCCATCATTCTCTTGGTTCCTGCAGTCTAAATAAAATACAGATCATTTTTGCCATAGACACACAGGTTATCATAGATTGGAAAGATCCACAGCCCTGGCCGGTTTGGCTCAGCGGTCAGAACGTCGGCCTGTGGACCAGAGAGTCCCGGGTTCGGTTCCCACTAAGGGCATGTGCCTCAGTTGCAGTTTGTCCCCGGCTCCGGTTGAGGTCATGTGGGTAGCAGCCACTCGATGTATCTCTCTCACAGCGATGTTTCTCTCTCTTTCTCCCTCCCGCTCTAGCTGAAGATAAACGCAAAAAAGTGTCCTCACGTGAAGATTTAAAAAAAAAGACCCACAGATAGGAAAGTTCTGTTCCAAAGTAAGACGTGGGCAAATCTGAAACATAGAACCAGATATATAATGGCACAGTAATAGCAATCATGATTAGTCAAAAATAACAAGTAAAATGTAGCCACCCACAAATTTTAGATGCTTTCAAACACATTACATTTTAATGTAAAAATACCTTTAATCCAGAACACTTTTTACTAGGTGTTACTTATTTTACAAAGAAACTGAAAGGACACTGAGATGCAGTCACATTTGCCTTAATTTCTTTATTGTTTCTTCCTTGATTCTATAAATGTGACTTGGAGAGCTTTCAAATGAAGTTTGTCTTCCATGAAAGAGAATCAGGATAATCAGCGTTTACCTTCTACAAATATACATGTTAAGGTTGCAGTCTACAGTGTTGGGATTAGCTGGTTTCCCTTAAGATCAGCCATATTTTTAAGCTGATGTCTAATGGGTTTAGGATGTCAGAAATTATATATTCAGCCGATTAGTATTAGTTGATAGATTAAGCTCTTTACTTTGTTTTTAGAATAAAAAATCTTTATTTTCTTTAAGCTTAACTTTTTCTTAATCTTTTCAATTAGCCCATCATTTGTTTCTTTCAAAATAATTTCTTTTCTCGTATTCACACATCATTACAGTTAAAAATCAAGCACCAGTGAATATATTAACAGAAAATAACAATTAACAATTTTATGAATTTTATGATGACATTTCCATTGTACTCTAAGCCAATCAATTTATCTTAACTTTAACATATTCCTCATTATAGCTACCAATAGTCAAGACTGATAAATATGAAACTAAATTTCATGAATATGTTTGACTCTTCATGTTTTGTTTTTCAAAAACAGGCTCAACCAAGGCTTTCTTGGGCTGATATATTTAATCAAGTAATATGCCTTTATTTAATTATTAAAAATAATTATTTTTACAATAAAATCAGGATGAATTAATAATTTAATTTTTAATTGTTTTCTCTTACTTTGAATATAAACAGACTTTAACAAATTTCATACGTAGATTCATCACTCTTCAGGACCTAGATGGTTATGTTTATAATGATCATTTTCCAGTGAATTTAAGGAGTTATTAAATAGCACATGTATAGAATTGTTAAGGCCCCTGACTGGTGTTCTTCCCATCCAAATCACTTAGACTTGGCCTGCATGTTATAGCAGAGTAGTGCATTCTACCCTGGAGCCCAGCTACTCCATCTTGGGAATTTAGTCCTTACTACTCACCAGCATTGTCATTCTTCTACGTCCATGGAGACCCAGACATTATCTAGATGTATATGATAGCCAACTTTGTCCCACAAAAATATGTAGACATTAATTGCTTTATTCATGTGGCTCACTTAAAAAAAGAAGAAGAAGAAAAAGAAAACAAATTCTAGTAAGATTTTCACAAAATATTTAGGACCAAGAAACTATTTGCAAAGTTTTAACATCTGAATGATTTACTTGGGTGGGCGGGGGATAGAATTCTCAAATAATCAAAATGGTGGATTTGTGTTCTCCCTAGTGGCCATGTGACATTTAAAAGCAGTTAACATAATCAGCAGCCTCTTTTCCTAGGAGAAAAGGAGACAAGTGAGCAGCACCCTCTGGCAGACACTTATCTTAAATAAGAGCCATGCAGACCTTCATTGGGAGCCACAGAGGATGTCAAAGTGTCAATAACATTTTATGAATTCCAGAACGGGAGGGAGATTACAAGGGTACCTGCCCTTAACTGCTATTGCTTGCTAATAAAATAAGGAAGTAGAGTCTTAATTACATATAAATTAGAAAGCCTTTCAGGACTGCAAGTCCACAATACAAATTTGTCCTGGCCAACTTATTGATAATTAAGCTAAGTCTAAGGAAAACCATTCTAATAAAATAACAAAGTAGGTATGTAATTATCAGTGGAGCATTAATGCTTTATATCAGATAGGTCATCTGTGGATGAATATTTTGTGTGCTTGATATATTTTAAATCCAACTATTAGACACTTATAGGCTTTGACACAGAGATCTATGGTTATAATGCCATGTGTATCAGTTACCGGATTCTCTAGACAAAATTTACCTTTCAGAGTTACTTCATGAGTTCTAATACAAGTGATCATAAATTTAAACTACCATCTTAGGGATTAACATGTCATTCACATCATGTGAATAAACTCCTTTTGCTCAACCATCTGAATAATATGATATGTTCCTTCTGTGTTGAGCGAAATCAAACATCCTTTAATGTTAATTTCCAGATACTGGAGTTGTAATATTAGGCCATCAAGTACAACATTCCTTTCTTTTTATTGGACTGTTTTCATCTATTAAGGGCAAACCAAAAAAAAAAAAGAAGGCCAATAACAATCAGTGGCACATTGATATATACAGATACCTTTGGGCCAGTTAGTTGAAATCTGACTGCTTAATATTCTAAAGGTAACATAGGACAGTAAAAATATATTTAAAGAGATTTAGCTTTAAAAATGACCTTAGAAGTGCCTCTACAGAATGGAAATCTTCATTTATTCTTTGTTTCCTCATTGAACTAATTCTAGATTTCTTTTCTACAACTTTAAAATTGACAATAAAATACCAGTCTAGTTTAGTCATAGGAAAATCATCTATGAAGAAAATCACACTTAAGGGGAAAAGTGAAATTAAGGGAAGGTTTGCAGATTACATATCTTAAGTGCCATATAACCCAGAGTTCTGTTGTTGTCCTTAAGAATCACTGTAGCAACAATAACATGGTCTTCTATTTTTTACATATAACACACCAAATTATAATTTACTGTTTCACAGAAAATGTAAATACATGTTTTATTAGCCCATCCATGAAAGCTTTATGCCAGAATTTGACAATTCACATTCCAAGGGAATTTCAAAAGGAAAGAGCAGAATTCATAGACATTTAGGTATACACAAAATTTCACTCAGTGTTACATTCGCAAGTGCTGAAAATGCAAACTTCTTTTACTAATGATAGGATTAATTTCCTTTCACACACCTCCCCAAAACGCTAATGCATTTTATATATTGTAATGTATTCTTAAGTATTAAAGGAAAGGCTCCTCAATTGGAATAGTAAGAATATTTTCATATTAAAAATATACATAAGTACATATTGTTTTATCTTTGTTACAAGTTATCCAAATAGTGAATTCTGTAATCAGTAATACTTTGGAGAAAAGCTCACTTATCATTTGATAGTTACAAGCTTTTGATCTAATAGAGTGAGTCTAGTTTGAATAGCTCTACCCAGTCTCTGATTTCATTTTCTTCCCAGAAATATACCAGTAAGGTGATTGACAATCTAAAGCCTTTAGTGGATTATCCAAGATCATATTTGAAATGCCAATTGAGTTTATATACATATAGACATCCATATATACCTGCACACATATAATCCATAAGTTTTCTAAGCAATTTCTCTCTTCCTCCTCCAGAAAACCTATAGAGACTTCCGATTGCAGGGTGTGTTGGAAGGCACACTGAACAGTAAGACCTATGATACTGTGCACAGACGGTTAACAGTAGAGGAGGCTACAGCCTCTGTTTCAGAAGGAGGAGGACTTCAGGGCATTACAATGAAAGACAGTGATGAAGAAGAAGAAGCCTGATGTTGTGCAGCTCTGTAGAAGGAAGAAGGACATTAACATTGTTTATTTTGTACCTTGTTCTTGTAATTATATTGTTTAACCAAATAAAAGTGCTTGTATTTCATTCCACATTTTAAAAAGTAAACCTGGAAACAGAAATAAAGGGGAGAATGTCAAGTTTGCCAAGTTTTTTGTTTTTGTTTTTGTTTTAATATATATAAGATCAGCCTCTTTTGTGTAGCTTGACCTAAAATGAGCTTTGGCTCTGTTTGTGATTTGAACATGAGCTTTTTTTTTAACTCTATTTTTCTGTAATCACATCAAAGTAGTGTCCTATGTGTGGAGTATGTATTTCTCATAATACAACATTGTGGGAAGTCACTTCTGATCAGTCTGCCAGCTCTACTGTACCCTTGTTACAATGGTGTGTACAGTTTATCATTTATGTGCAAAATTCGTTTCATAATTTGTCATTGTTGTGATGTGTGTGAAAACTTTAACCTTGGTTCTTAGTACACTGAATTGGTCTGCAGGTATATTCCTGGGTTTAAAGAACTGCCAAAGCCAAATATAGGCTAGATTATCCAACATGCTGGTGTCTTGTTCCATTCTGAACATTTCTTCTTTCAAGCGTAAAAACATCCCAAAGTATGGGTTAGTGAGCTTGCTGCCATGAACATATTTTATTCTCCTACTTGTAAGAGCTTGCAGGCAATACAAATCCATTTAGTCATAACCACTTCTGTATTTATTAGGCTTGTATAGAGTAAATACAGTAAAAAATGTTTGCAGTATTACAAACATCATAACAATTTGGCTCTGTTTTGTTTCTTGCTTATTTTTTTGTCTCGTTCATAATCAAATGAGTAAAAGATATTAACACTGTTTCGCACTTAGTAGGCACACACATTTGTTAGAACACTTAGGTACTAAGACAGCATATTTCTATTGCAAAAGTGATGTTGACTACATACTCATATATTGTGTATTATTAGTTAACATTAGCAATTAATGGTAACTAATAATTGGTGACAATAAGAATTCTAGTAATGTTAACTAGCAATTGACATAATAATTAATACTTATTTCTTCCCCCAAGTATTTTTTGCAACCATTTTGAAAGATAAATAATAGTATTGTGATTTGCAATTTCTCTTTGAATGTTTATTTTCATATTTTTTCTAAATATGTTGGCATGTTGTGCTACTGCATTCATTCATAAGTAATGCTTATATGAAGTAAGTTAATGCAAAATAATTGGAGTTATCCCTGAATTTGTATAAACTTAAGTCCTGAAACTTTGGAAGTGAAACAACTTCTTGGATTTTTCAATTCATTCCCCCATTGGTGTTATAAATGATGACTAGGTACCCAGTCTAGCCCACAAAAATTTATGTAATCCACAATTATAATATAATATTGTTTTGACTCAATTTCTGGGTCCTACAGGTAAAAGACCCTGTGATTCAAGATCAACATGAAAGGAAATTTCTTCCCCTTTCCTGGGTTAGAGACTAACTCTATCACTCAGTCTTATTTAAAAAGAGTTTGTCTTGGAATGCCCTCCTTCCCTCTCTTTTCCACCCTCAGGCTCAGCACCATCCTTCCTTCAAGCCCTTGGGTGTCCAGTCATGCTGCCCCAAATTGCTCTATGCTTTGAAATTACCCACCCTTGTTTTCCTTTAAATAAAATGTTTATTTCCTTGATACAGCTCATCTCAGAGTAATTGACCCATTTTGTCCTAAAGTATGAATGACTGGTGACCCACTCTTAACCATGTGTGTGTATGTCTAGCTGATAGAATTGAGAAATAAAGGGGAAAGCATGTATTTCAGGGGAAAGTACTTGGGGCCTACAGGAGGGTCTTGCTTCAGGTTTGACCTGTTTAACCTACCTAATGGCCCTCTTTGCTGGTCAGCCTCTTGTAGCTTCTCTCTAGATTGGGGTATTCTCTGGGCCTTCCTTTCTGTACCCAGATTTCTAAAAGCTCCATTCGCACTTCAACTCCACTGGCTCCCCACAGTGAGGATAACAGCAAAGGCAGAGATGAAAACTAATAACCATCCTTTCAGCCACAGAAAGGTGTGTAAAGAGAAATTTATAAAGTAACCCCGAAAGAGACTGAAAAGTTGCTTTTGGGTTTTTGCCCAGAAATGCTCTTCAGCACGACTAGAAATTGCTTGAAATGACTTAATAATTGTTCATTGGCATGTGTAACTGTTAGGGTGAATGCCCAAGCATCTGTTTATTAGAGGAAGCCAAGTGTTGTTATTCTTTAAAAAGTATTATTTAAAGGGGGGGGGGGGGTAACTGGAAACCTAACAGGTCTTGCAATGAAAGATTTTGAAATGAAAATCATTTTTAACCCAAAAGAAATAGCTATACCCTCCTAAATGGACTTGGGGATGGGCAAAAATATACATTCTTTACACGGTTTGGTGAGTGTCTCTGGCAAAAATAACTAATACCGTCTAAAGTGCAGCCGCAATGGAGTTTTTTAAGTAACATCTGGAAGGAAAATTTCTCCAAACACTTGTTGGAGAAAAATCATGAAAGTACCCTTTCTCGCAAGGGGAAAGAACCACACGGAGTTTAATGTAAACCTCGCGGCTCCAGCTGTGGGTCGTTCTTGTATTCACGGATTTTTCCACTTGAATTTCCTTTAGTTCTTCATTGTCCCTCGCTCTGGAGAAAGGATTTCCTGCTACTTTTGTAATAAACGCCCATGCAAAGTGGCTAAGGGGTCCCACCCCGTCCCCCTGGTCGTAGCGAGACCTGGTGCCGCCCTCCTTCGCCCGCGGCGACCCGGGTTGGAGGGTCCTTGGGCCCCGGAAGGTGCGCTTGAATGGCAAAGAGGGCACATGGCTCTCGCCGCTCAGGGAACTCTGGAACCCTTCCCGCTGACGCAGTCGGCCACCCGCGAAAACCCGCGGCGACCCAGGCAAGGGCCCTGGGCGCACGGATGCTCGTGGGATCCCGGGGCCGCGGGACGCACACCCGTCCTCCCGAGACTCTTCCGCCACCTGTTTGGTAGAAGGACCCGGGCGGGGCGAGCAGGGCAAGAGCCCGGTCGCTTTTGTTTCTTACTTCCAACACAGAAAATGGAAATTTCTCGGTCCAGATCCCTAAAGGGAGGTGATAGATCGATGTTCCTGAGATGTTCACGCGTCGCTGGCGTCCGGACATCTACTCGCCGGCAGAGCAACCTTTTCGGCCCCGCGCGCTGGGAGCCGCTCTCTGCGCAGCGACCGCAGCCCCACCGCCAGCCCTCGACGCATCCCTGCCCCGGGGGTGGTGCGGCTGTGGAGGCCTGGTTTGCGGGGGCTCGGGAAGACAGTATTCATCCTGTGTTTACAATGAGTCTCCCACCACCCCCTGCCCGGGTCTGGTGCAGGGAGCAGGTGGGCAGTGGGTCTGCTTACCCCTTCCAGTGCGGCTCGCTGGCCGCAGGAACCTTCGGGGAAGGCTCCTGCGGTTCAGTTGGCCCCAGAACTTTGCTGCAGGCGGAGTCGTGCTCAGTGGTCTGGGCGCCCAGGCAGACGCGATGAGGAACTGGGACCCGGTAGCAGCGACGTCTTCGAAGCGCTTGGCTGGGAGGGTGTCCCCGGGAGGGAGCTCAGGGTCAGGCTTTCCCCAGCCTCGGCTGCTAGATGGGATGCAGGGCTGCCTTAAGCTGCTCTTTCTGCGACGTTAAAGTGAGATACTTAAGGGAACAGAGCAGGCACAAGCTCTGAGACTGGGTTCCAGAAGTCGCGAGTGACAGCCACCACGGCCTTTATCCGTGTGCAATATGTGATCGTTTTAAGGGAGAAGTAGGCACTGAAGTGTACGTGTGTACTTCCAAGAGAAGAGAAAGTGAGCGAAGAAAAATGCGATGTTTTTCCCAAATTAATAAGACCCCTGATTTAAAGAACTACCCAGAAACCACCATAAAGAACCGGGGCCTTTGGAGCGAGAAAAGCTTGGGTTTGAATCCTAACAGCTATCTCTTTCCTGCGCGTGAGCTCTGTGGCCTTGGTCAAGTTCTCTCACCTCTCTTAATAAGGATGGTGGCTGCAAGGATTAGAGTCATATAATAAATGTGGCCATTATTAACTGCTTCTTACTGTAGGGCTGGATTCAGAAGAAATCGAGGAAGGCCTGCTTCTGGCACATGCTCCACCAATCTCACCACCGGCAGTTCTCGCCGGGTTTGGCACAGGGTCCTTCTAGATCACAGTCAGCTCCGCGGACCTCCAGCCCCGCCCCTGGCGTGTCCGTGGACTGACTGGCCTTGTCCAGATCCGGGGTTATATATGGGACCAGCCTAGTGGGAGGAGAGGAGGCGACGGGGAGGGGCAAGCCGATTTCTGTAGCCCCTGAAGCTGCAGTTAGAAGGGGAGGCAGCTGGAGACGTGTCATCGGGTCCACATAAGAATGATGTTGATCAGGGACTCTGAAATCGGACGGGTTTGATCTGGGAAGTGCCAGACTACAAGCAAGGAATCTAAGGCCGGGTTGAGTTCAAGAGAATTTCAGAGGCAAGTCGGTGATCATGAATGTTTATCAAAATTTAAAGAGGCCTAGAATGACGCCCTGCGCCTCAGACCAGAGTTGTGCACACAGCTCTTGGAAAATGCAAAGCGCCTCGGCGCTCTCCAACGTGGCCTCAGCTGCGACAGCTGAGCCAAACTGTTAGGGAGACAACCAGCACCAAGTTCTGTCCTGGAGTACTGAACTGGCAGTCTTTCTAGGCTACGAGGATAAAACCAACAACCTAGAGGCTCAGCAGGGGGCAAAAAGTAGCGCCTGGGTCAGAACCCAGCGTGTCTGTACTGAGGCAGACACGCTCCCAGTTGGTGTGGGGGCCAGGCATGTCTTGACCTTGGGGAGGCAGAAACTGATCACTTGCCAAGGTGTATGATACTATCTCCATCATTCCTAGCCTGCAGCTTCTGAGTTCCAGATCCAGGGAACACGATTTCACCCCTGTCCCTTACTGGGAAATACCAAGAGGTCTTTAATCTCCCAGTACTCTGCAACTTTACATTAACGGTGAATGTATTGGTGTGCTTATTTGTGGGCAATTTTAAAAATCAGCAAATAAGAATATTCTAGACTTGTCCAAACTCTCCTTTCACATTGTTCCTCCGTGGGATCAGTGGTTCTCCAGTCAGAGAGAAAGCAAAGAGTTGATTTCAAATTCAAGAACCATTAGGCAGATTAATAATTCTTTTCCTAGCCCGAACACAGGCTTATTTATGGAGCCCCTACACACAGTATGTACCTTCGCAAAAATTGAAAGTTGTGTTAAAATTAATTCCCTTTCTGCTTTAAATCAATTCTGATTTGCCTTTTAACATTACCTGTTCTCTGACACTCAACAAGTAATACCTCTTTGGGGTGTGATTAGCAGAAAAAGAAACTTAAAATGCTGAGGTTTGTTGTTTGGGACATTTCCTTAAAATACCAAGGAATCAAAACTAATTGTTACTTTGGGAAGAGATTTTGGTAGGAATGTAGAAAGTTTCATGAAGGAGGAGTTGCATAGTAGTAGGAGAGAACTGAATTTCAAAAAATGGAAAATGAAACTTGAAAGAGGCCTGGGTAGTAGCAGATTGTGGCAAGAAAGGCCTTTTGCTAGGTCCTACCCACCCCTCCTCCCCCAAACACACACACACACACACACACACACACACACACACACACTCACACACACCAAGGCTGGATAATGATTTTTAAAAACACACTACAAAGTTGCTGTATTGAAGAAGCTCATTCATTGTTAATCA